CGCACACACACACACACACGCGCGCACCCACACACACACACACACATACACACACACTCACATGCACACACAGTCAGAAATGTTAAGCAGCCATTGGTTGCTTCCCAATTTGCTGTAAGCGTCTACCATCAGTGAAACATTCTCAAATATAGCCTGACCCTCAAATACATACTGTTACAATTATGTGGCATAATGAGCTATCAATAAACTACAAGGTTCCAAAAACTGTGACCTTCCATAATTAATCTTTATAGACACCCTTGGGGAAAAAAAAAATCTACCTAATGACTGGACTACAGGGCCAGAGATTTAAATGATACTAGTCCCAATGAAGGCTCCCACAATATGTACTGAGATTTATGACAAGCCCAGGAAAAAAACAATGACCTAGAAACCTCACACTGAAGGTTCCTAAGTCCAGGGGTAACAGGTGCTTTACAACAAGATGCTGGTGTTAAAAAGAGCACAAGGATATGTAAATACCCAAGAAAGACAAGAGGTAACAACTTCCAGATCAAGTATCTTACTGCTCACTTTACCAAACGCTGCTTATGTGGCTTCCTCTAAAAACCATGACTAATTCTAGACAGGGAAAGCCTTAAAGTCTAACCTTAGCCATTAAGGGTTAAGATTTTTTGAAATATATATATAATAATTATTATTCAATTTTCTCTAAATCAATTCATTTTTAGTGCTATAAAATAAATGCTAAAGGACACTTAAAGAATGACTTATTGGCTGGGCGTTGGTGACGCAAGCCTTTAATCCCAGCACTCAGGAGGCAGAGGCAGGCAGATGTCTGTGAGTTCGAGGCCAGCCTGGTCTCCAGAGCGAGTTCCAGGGCCTCCAAAGCTACAGAGAGACCCTGTCTTGAAAAACAAAACAAAAAGAATGACTTATTGATTCACAAAACATGGCAGAATTTTAATTTTAAAAAGGGGGTCCTCATGTAGCCCTCGAACTCTCTATGTAGCCACAGGTGACCAACTCTTGATCTTCCTGCCTCTACCTACCAAGTGCTGAGACTACAGCTGTATGCCAACACATTCAGTTTCAGTATAGCATAATCTTAAGTACATTTTGGGGATGTACTTTCCTAGTATATGAGAAGCCCTGGTTCCAGTTATCAGCACCATGGGGGAGTAGGGGGCGCAGTGCTAAACGTGAGGAGCCACACCCAAAGTCTCCATATTTGTAAGAGTGCCAAGTATATAATATTAATATAGGCACAACAATAAAAATGAAAACGCATCAGTGACTGCCAGGGAGGTGCACAGAAGGCTTATCTATAAAGGGTTAAGAGCAAGATTTTTAGGGCAATGAGATGATTGTATGGAACTGAGATAACAACAGACCACTCTATTTGTATCAGAACCAAAAGAACTGTAGACCATACAATGAATCAACAAGGCTGCAGACTACAGAGGTAGAGATAAAATGGAAATGTGACAAGTCTAACTGACAAATGAATCGAACAGCCAACAATATATGGTAGAGCATTTGCCTAGCATGTATTAGACCCTGGGTTTGACTCTCCCAAACACTGAAGGGAAAAAAAATTCTTCCAAAGACTTTAAATCTCTATTTAGGATATTTAAGTTCAGTGGCTGACAACTCACCTAGCATGTATGAGACCCCAAGCTGAATCCCTATTACTTCTGATTTAAAAAAAAAAAAAAAAAAAGAAGAAAAAAATGTCTCTTATTATAGCCTGGCACAGTGGTGCATACCTGCAATCTTAGCACTTGGAAGGCTGAGGAAGGAGAGTGGTAGAATTACATATTAAGTGCAAGGCCAGCCTGGAATGCATG